TCCGTATGCAGGCGCTGCTGGAATGTTGCTACATAGAAATGGAAAGTTCACAATTGGGAAGCTGAAATCATCTCTTTTGTCGTAAAGTTTTGTTTTCAACCGACCCTCATTGTCAATTTCTAGATGTAAGTCAAGATATGAGGCAGACTTAACTGTATCTGTAGTATCCTTTATCTCTAGTTCGATGGGATAGATTCGTTCAACATAGTCACCAAATTTTGTATTATTTAGTGAGAGAATATCATCTATATAGCGGAACGTAAAGTTAAAGGATATTGCTAACTTCTTATCTTTCTTCCTAAGAAGTTCCTGTATGAAGTCAGCCTCATAATAATAAAGAAACAAGTCGGCAAGAAGAGGGGCCCACATTGTTCCCATTGGAATTCCGACAGTCTGTTGAAAAACACGTCCTCCAAACGTAACAAATATGTTGTCAATCAAGAAATCAAGCATCTTGATAATGTCAGTTTCAGTGAATTTTTTGTTTGAATCAGAGTAATTCTTTACAAAGTAGGATTTATCCCTCCCCAAGACAAGATACTTGTATCTACATTAAATATGTTCTTTATCTTAATATTGCGAAAATTAACGAGACATCAATTGTCATGCATTTGTCAAATCGATGCATAGCTTCAATATTCCACTGTTAAACAAAACAAAGTATGTGTTTTAAATAGAACCGGATTGAGATCATAATTGAATTGGTCACTCATATCTTCTACCTTTTATTACACACCATGAAATTCCTGTGATGAAAACAAGTATTTGTTTTTGAAAAGGAGTTGGAGACAAACTGATCATCAAATTGTACAGAATATTGTTGGATATTGAAACTTTAACCCAAACATCTTAAGTGCACCAATTAATGGTTACTTTTTTATAGTTACACTCTTTGTTTGCTTTTTTGTGCTTATTAAATTAGGCGTATCGATTAATGTTGAGCTGTTATGCCATAGGCTAAGGTCGTAAAACAATTTTGATTCAACGTATCTTAACTCGTAATTATATTTAATATTCAAAAATATTAAGTCTTCAACAGGTTCAAACTGTTAACTGCTTAATACCATATAAATGGTTTTTATAAGGATAATTACGATCGGAACACAAATTCTCATGGTAAGGGCTACAAAATCTGGTAGTCAAAACCGTTCAATGTTTCTTTATGGGCATGAAAACAATCTGGCCTGTTTTCCGCTTTTAAATCATCTTCAGATTTTCAAAATGTGAATAAATGGTGTATGGTATATTTCAATAGAAACCAAAATATGGCACAAAAATCAGTCTTAAACAAAAGTGGGCAATCATAAGTTGAATTTGTATAGTTGATTTATATTATTGACTTTACAAACTGTTGGTAAGTGCACGTGGTCAGGATCGTTAATGTTACAGGTTATCTAAAATACTGGTGTAATATGCGTTTTATGTGCTATATGGTTTGAAAAATAATATTCATCATATCTAATGATTATAGGTTAAACAATACCCATAATTCATAGTATGTAGGGCTATTACAGAAAGATTCAGTCAGTTTTTTAAACTGCTTTAAACGAGACGAAAGAACTCAAAGGGACATTCAAACTTGTTTAACTTATATAAAGAACCATGTGTTATAAAATACAAAAAAAATATGTTTTACACCTGGAAAGCAAACCATATCAAACGAGTTTGACTTCAATACCAATTCGGCAGAGGGGTTGTGTTGACATTGAATATGTTCCAATCCCCTTTAAACTATTTATTCACAGTAAATGCTTTGTGAAACATTAGTGTTTTGTACATTTATACTTGAAAGGAAAAATTCTTTACTCTTCTATCAATTATTTTGCATTACAAAAATGTAGTACATAACGTATGTAATATACACGTTCTCGATAAAATTGAGCAATCATAACAGACGTAATAGGTTAATGTGACAACTAGACTAATAAGATATTTTGCCATACAAGAGGAAACAGTAGTTGACCTTCATTTGGAATATAAAAAGTGATAATGACGGAATCGCTTCAACTTCAAAATGAACGAGACCGATTACGTCGACAAGTAAGTGTCTCCTGCTATGTATGCTTCACTCGTCATGGGATAATATACTATTTTAAAATGTCACGATAAGGGAAATTAAATTAGTACAACCAAAACGTTTTTCTGGGATTACATTCAACGAAAGAAAACGCCAAAACCCAATCAATTGAAATATATTTTTAAATATGAAACGGCTGTACTGGAATCTATACATCTAAGACTGCTATAAGATGCATCTTACGAGTTGAGACATAGGCACATCGTACTGGTCATCCAATTTATGATTGCAGCAAATAGAGACCAGCACTGCCCTTTTTTTCAATAAACAACAAAAATACAGAACACAAATTTAAATTCGAAAAGGTGGAAGTCCATAAAAACTGACAAAATCAAACCTGGTTTTATCGCTTGCCCCCACTTATAAGACAGTTGTTTATAGTTGTTTAAAAGTGGTATCAATAAAGTCGATTTCATTGCAAGCGCACAAAGAAATGTGGATTATTGACCGACATGACATCATCAATATGTCTAATCACCTAGGACAGATTATAATGGCAACCATGTTTTATATATATAATCTTTTTGTGTAGGCAATAAGTAATTTACCGTATGTTGTTCTATTATTATACAATATTTTAAATATGCAGTACAACCTTTTAAAGAAGGTTTTTCTTCTGAATTTTTGCAGCTATAAATATAATATTTAAAAATCAACATTATATGTTGAACTGTATTATCTGGGTAAACAATTTCCCGAATACCCAATATATATATATATATATATATCAATATATCTGTACGTGCAATATATTATATTTCCGAACAATTGCTCCTGTGAAAAGATGGTTCCATGATCACTGAAAAGATATGAGTTCCTGGAGACATATTTTAGTTTTATAGATAAAGATAGAAAAAAAAATGTAGAAGCCGATCCGAAATCGAAAGCAATTAGCAAGTGCCTACATTGTATCATCACTCTTAAAGTTGGTGAACTACTTGTGTACGTACGTACTACGTATGTTTTCGACTTGGATTGCCAGTTTTCCTGCCGAAGGTCGGTGGTTCTCTCCGGGCATCCCGGATTCCTCAACCAATTAATATGGCCGTCACGAAAAAGTCAATAATGCTGAAAGTGGCATAACACACCGAACGCAAATCAATCAAAGTATGTTGGCAAGTTATTCCAATCGAAACAAGAAACAATAGTATGACGCTTTACACATTTCACGAAAAAAAACTACGTTGAATAATTAGACACAACACCAAAAGTATTCCAACCAACATTCATTGAACAAAACATTACACAATTATAAGAATATTATAAATCACGAGTTGGCTGAACGTTATGGAAAATTTGTTTCACTGATGACGACGGATCTGTTCCAATCGTCGTAATCACAATCCCGTCATTCATTTCGCCAAATATGACCTACTGGATTAGACTTATCACCGGGTTTGTACTTGCATGAGCAACACGACGGGTGCCACACGAGGAGCAGGATCTGCTTACCCTTCCGAAGCACATGAGATCTCCGACCCTCCCCCCCTGTTTTATGTTGGGTTCGTGTTGCTCAGTCTTTAATTTTCTATGTTGTGTTTTGTATACTGTTGTTTTTCTTTTGGTCTTTTCCTTTTTTTGTCATGGCTTTGTCATTTTATTTTCGACTTATGAGTATGAATGTTCCTTTGGTATCTTTCGCCTCTCTCTTATAAAACAATGTATAATAAATGACTTCTGCAAACCAGTGGATCGATACCATTGCAAGTTGATGTTTTGCCCAGAAGTGTATCTCCTTCCACATGGTAAACCCGCCGATGGTGAATTGAAATAGCAACGGAATCGTAATTTCTGTAAATTCCCTATTCACGGGGTTCCCATTCTTTTTGCAATAAAAAATTCTAGGGTTTTCTATGATTTTTCCAGGACAATTTATTTACTTTTACTGGAAGACATTTACGCTAGTAACAGTAAGAGACATGTCGCTTTTCTTACAAACACTTCGGAAATTTGAATAGGGCTTTAATTATTAGGCGGCAAAATTATTCCATCCGATAGACGTTTAAAAGAGTAAACAGGTCTTTTTAAATGGAAGCAAAATTACAAACGATAGGAAGACTTTTTGAAGCATTGTTGTAATTTTTGTGCATTTATAGGACATTTCCTATCCTTGACCAACATTTCGGACATGTTTGTCCTATTTCCAGGATAGGATGCGAACCATGTGTTTATAAAGGTCAATTAAAACATTTCTTCCCTCAGCTTAGAAATCCTCGGACAGATTTTTTTATTTCTGGTTTTTAATGTTTTTAAACTTTGACCTTCTTTTAATGTCCTTTTTGAAGTTCCAAAACAGTTTTGATTTAAGCAAGGTCTGACATATCACATTACAGTTTACATAGCTTCAAGTTCATATACAACAAATAAGCATTACAAAATAATATTCAGCACCTTGAAAAATACATCATAAATACATTTCTATGTTCAGAAGGACGGTTTAAAAGACAAAATATCCTTTTTATATACAGAATATATGAAATACAAAAATAGTACTAAAAAATATATAATTTAACCTTAAACAAGTAATTATTATTATTATTTCTCATTGTTGAACAATCAATATCTCTATTCTTTCGCTAATGTGTTTTGGATTGGTTTATGTCTTATTTACATTTACCGTGCATCTTCTCTCATTGATACATATGTTGTTATGTTGAATCCTATTTAAAATACTTTAATTACATGAACATATAAAAAAGAAGTTGTGGTATGATTGCCAATGAGACAACTCTCCACAAGAGACCAAATGACACAGAAATTATAGGTCACCGTACGGCCTTCAACAATGAGCAAAGCCCATACCGCACAGCCAGCTATAAAAGGCCCCGAAATGACAATGTAAAACAATTCAAACGAGAAAACTAACGGCATAATTTATGTACAAAAAATGAACGAATAACAAATGTGTAACACATAAACATACTTATTAAGCTTTGAAACCCTGGAATTTCACCAAATGTAGCTGTAATTGTAATACCATTCCCTGTAACTATCATATAATACAATCCCATATGTATTGTTGCACGTCCAGATAAATAATCATATCTCTGAAGTCCCACTAAGTCAGCCCAATCCACGACTAACCATCCGGGAGAGAAAGCTCCAGCGCACAATAAAACTAATGTAACTACTCCAAATATTGCCGGACATAGTTTTTCCATTTTGTTTGCTGTGGACTTCGGGACAACGACTAATGTTTTTCACTTTTCAGGATATTCGGATTAGCAAAAAAGAATTTAGACCTCGACAATGTAATTGTATTCTTTTCGGATGAAGTGGTTTGAATGGACAAACAAATCTTTGTAACATATTTCATGTAAATTGATAGTTTAAAGTTACATTAACTTTGAATAATTTAAGATACCAGTGTAGTCGTCTCATCTGTAATTTTACCAACTGTGTTCTATTTCCGATTGTGACATTTTGACTGAGTGTGGATTCGCATGGCAAGTGATGTGTACCTAATAGGAGACGCCTATCATGTCGACGCATGAGGTCTCGTTCTTTTTGGAGTTCTAGTGATTCCCTCAGTTTGCGTTTATTATCTTGATTTGTCATCTTAATCGATTTATGAGATTTGGACATCGGTTAACTACTGTTGCCATAATAAACAACTTCTGTAAAAGTTGAGTCTTACATTTTTTTCAAGGTCTGTGGTAAAGAAATGTAAAACATGGGATTGCTCTCACATAATAGAAAGTCCCTTGCTGAGATTAACTCCTGGTTTTTTGTGGGGTTCGTGTTTCTCAGTATTCAAAAGCGTTTTGTAGACTGTTTTTCTTCTTTTTTTTTTTTGTATATAAACATATTAACATTTTAATCATACCGGGGCCTTCCAGGGGCGGATCCAGGAATTTGTCAGGGGGTGATCACCTTTTGAAATCTTAAATTAAAATTCATTTTTCTATTGATATCATGAAAATAGTTACAACTATAGAATTCACAAGTTACACATGATTTATAAAATTGAATCTAATTTCATTTTTCTTGGATGCCTGCGTGCAAACATGTCAACGATCACATCAAGTTCTAAATCTAAATTGTAATGCACGTGCATCCGTGCAAGTCCATTTAGTCGATCCTGGCCCAAATTTAATTTCTCTTCGTTTGTTAATTTACGTGTTGATTGTTTTACAAAACCAATGTCGTTTGTACTTATATGTAAGTCGGGGTTGTTTCTTTAACCTGATCACTTTTATTCGTATCAATGCTAGGTCCATTACAGGTCGTTGGTACTTCAGAGGGGGCTGATTTGTGGCGTTTCCTGAAGGAAAGAGGGTATAAGTTACTAAAAAATTGGAATGATCGGAACTTTCAGACAAACAGATGATAGAACGGGGGTATTCAATTTAGAATATTTATGTGACTTAAAAACTTTAAAATTATATTTGAATTTTGGTATCACTGTAAAAAAAACATTATTGGTCCAGAAAAGTTATTATACAAACTTTAAACGCAATGTAAATAAAAGTATGAATTACCTGCTAAAAACATCTAAGATTGAAGACTGTCTCTTCATTTTTACATCGCAATGACCGTGAGGGCATTCTGATGTATTACTATCGCCTAGATTTCCATTACCTGATTACGTAACTTTCGTTTTGGGTTCTAACCGATCTATAAACATGATAAGTACGCGGATATTAACGAGTGCAAAATAACATTCTTTATCGTTTGTTATAAATACATCTCTTCAATGAATACTGATAACAATATTTGTGTTTAGAACATAAATTAATAATATGAAAATGTTTTGTCGTTAGATATATATATATATATATATATAAGTAAAAAATCAAAAAAGCATGCGGAAGAATATCTCAAGAGCCTTTTGCGACAATCCCGGCAAGGACCAGTAACTCTGCATGGAAGATTGTTTTTGCGGGAAAATATGAATGCCTACTCATATCCAATCTTTTAGAAAAATCGAATTTTTACAGAAGAGTATCCACCATGCACTTGCACTGCACTCTTATAATAGTAGAATAGAATGATATACAAATGGGTGAAAATTATATATACATGCAACTGTTATATTAATATAATTTATAACAACAAACCAGTGTATACTGATTTGTATCACTACAATATATTAGTCATTACGGTGAGGTTGAATTTGATTACACCTTAACATCAAAGAAATCGACCAAGTAATTAGCGATCGACAACTTTATGACTGGTGATTACGATAGACAAATTGATTTAATCAAAGAATTTATTTTTCAAAATGTTCATGTGCACCATTTTTTTGGTACATGGTGCACCATATTTGCAAACCCAGGGGGTGATCACCGGCACCGGGTGACCACCCCCTGGATCCGCCGCTGCCTTCTATAGCTTATTCCACGGTATGTGTTTCGCTCATTTTAAATACCGTGCTGTATCCATACGCTACTTACATTCTAGTACTTTGGTCACTTTTGGACTAGACACAAGTTGTTTCCTTTTTTCTTTTTCGATATTCAAATTTTGAAAAATATTCTAAGTCCAAACTGTATTTTTTTTTTCACAAAAATTTGTTTACCTTAAAGGAAATAGAAACTGAATAAGGAAAGAAATAGAAACCGAATAAGGAAATGAAAATCAAATAAGGAGATAGAAATCGAATAAGGAAATGAAAATGAAATAAGGAAATAGAAACCGAATAAGGAAATGGAAAAAAAAATTTGAGGAAAAAAAAATTTTGAGTTAATAAATTTGAGATAAAAAAAATTCAATTTGGATTAGGAATATTTTTCAAAATTTGAATATCGAAAAAGGAAAAAGGAAACAACTTGTGTCCGGTCACTTATGGATAGTTAGTTGTAGACAATCATAAACTAAAGTAACACTTTATTAATTTTATGCGTTCGGAGCGCTTTTCTGGATTTATTTTCAACGGTAACTCTAAAACCCAAACATTTTCAAAGTAAAAGATGTATGAGGCCTAAACACGTGAAGATCTATATGACCTAAAAGATATAAAAAAAAACAAATATCGTCTACCTGAGGGAGGTGGAATCTTTTTTTCCTTATAGTTTTTTTAATTTATCAACAGAGAATTCAAGAAAACTTGTAAAAACATCATACTGGTACCGTAAACTGACTACTGAGTTGATGATACCCTAGGGGACTAACAGTCCATCAGCAGTGTTTTCGACCCACTGCTAGTAAATTAAAATAAAACCGCATTAATTTTGTGCGTCCGAATCACTTTTCTAGATTAACAACCTTCATCTTGAATGCTCAAACTTAATCATTTTGATAGCAAGGGATGTACAAGACCTTAACACATGGAAAGCTATATTACCGAAAGGCTATGGTCAACTTTGCCTGAGGGAGTTGGAATCTTATAGTTTCTAATATGTTTTTTGAATTTATCAAAGGAGAGCTTTTTTAAAAGTTTGTTAAAGATCATGCCGGTACCGAAGCACTGACTACATAGTTGATGATACCATCGGGGTCTAACAGTCGATCATGTTATTGATTTTACAGTAGATCAGTAGCGTTATGACCCAGTGCTAGTAACTTGAAATAACACTTTATTAATTCCGTTTGTCCAAAGTCGCCTCCTTTGATTGATACATGAATAAATAAACATCAACGTATCATATGTTGTTGTTCATTGCCACAGAGTGTTTGATATGAATAGGCATTTTCAAAATCATAACATTGTTTATCGTATAATAGAAAAAAGTCAAAGTTACATTCAAAAGAGAAGCAATCGGATTGAGCCGTGAAGAGTGTCATTCCATTTCAGTATAAGTAGTTAACTTCATGCATCAAATAAAAGAAAAAAATATAGCCCCTCCCGTCATCGATGTTGCAGCTAAATAGTCCTCCTTTATAATCATTTAGAATGCTGGAAACATCGGGAATTTCTAAGAATTTCAAAATTTCAAATTTCAAATTCTACTTTATTTATTTCTCGTCTTAATTGAATGAAATTTGTCCATTAAATACAGAAATGTCTGCAGATTCTTCCAATACTTAAAAACTTGAAACATATTTACGTTTAAGAATATCAGTTTCAAGACAAATTTGAATTTCTGGACACTAATATAGCTAAATGGGAAAAAATGACACTTTATTTCAATATCTGTAAATAAATATGATTTTTGAGTAATGACATATCTCAAAAATATTTATTAATAACCATAAAAAACTGTATATATTTATTAGCTTAACAGTAAAACCTTTATAAAAATAGAACATCAGGTAAGTTTGTGAGAAAGTTTTGAAAAATTGTGTTTTTATATGGAATATATAGGAGAATTTTCGGTTGGTGAAACACGTTAGACCGAAGAATGTAGTAGAGAATGCATGATATAAATGCCGGGTTTTACAACCTAAAACAGTCTGTCAGAACAGATACCATTAAATTTGTCCATTACTTACATTTTGAAATTGACAATGAGGGTCGGTTGAAAACAAAACTTTACGACAAAAGAGATGATTTCAGCTTCCCAATTGTGAACTTTACATTTCTATGTAGCAACATTCCAGCAGCGCCTGCATACGGAATATATATCTCCCAGGTGATACGATATTCCAAATTTCCAAATTTCCTTTAATGATTTCCTTGATAGAGGGTTGCTGCTATTAAACCAAGAGTGCCAAGTGGCGAAATTGAAATCATCCCTTCGTAAGTTTTACGGACGCCATCACGAGTTGGAATATCCGTTTCACAGATGACAGCGGATATGTTCTTAATGTCGTAACTACAATCCCATTCCATTTTTATTGATTGAGTCGGATGTATAAATACGCAGCCACGTCCGATTGAAATAGGGATTATGAATCCGATGCCTCGTATATTAAAAGTAGGACACTCCCTCCGCTCAAAAACCCTGGTAACACCTCTTTGGATCGGACGCACTACATTAATACGGTATTATTTTCATTGACTGTGTCAGATGTTTAAATACGTAGCCACGTTAACCGATAACAAAAAGTCTTAAAAAGCAACATATTTGTGGACTTTCCTCAAACAACAGTAATGCAATTAAACATGCTATTATTTCTTCATTTCTCTTCATTATTTTAATGTCCTTAAACAAAAACAACAACAAAACAACGAAAAAAAATGATTAAAAGCATCCATATGCCATTGAGATTGAATAATATGCACCATAATAAGGTTTTAATTTTTTATATTTCAATAATTTGAAATAAATTGCATTTGAACCATTATAATCATAACTTTTAAAACCAATCTAAAACATTGCAAGTAAACATAGTATGAACGGGGTATTGGATTATTTATGTTTTGTTTTAGTTT